TTAATTGCTTCATTCCTGAACCCTAGACACAGAACTGCTCCAACAGGATTCCCTAGGTCCTTAAAAAAGGAATGTGTGTGTGGTGAAGGTCAGACTGACACATTTAGAGGCTGAGAGGGAGGAAGAATGGGAGAAACCCAATCAGTCTGGTATCTTACAAGGTATGAACCTTGTGTTATATTTTATGAATTAATAATCGCATTGGTGATAGTAAGGAGGAGGGGTGAAGAATGATATACTTCAAAGAAAACCATGTCCAAGAAACTTGCAAAACAATCTGGGAAAAACCAAAGAGATATTTCTACTTACCAAGCTCAGGCATCTGCATAGAAAGAACATGTACTTTCAATCACAAAGACATTTATTAAGCTGAACAAAATTATTAGCCATTTCTTTTTCCATAGCTTGCTATCTCAGAGCAAAACTAAAGAACTCTTTGCTCCATCAACCTATAACCTTCCCTCTAAATAGAACACTGAGGTGTTTTCCTGTTGGACCCTTAATTATTAATCCACACCAGTCACCACCCTGTTATGAATCACAAGGTTAAAGGAATACAGCATTCATTTAGAAATGAGACAATCTACAGGACACCAAGATTACTGCGGTTTTAACCAGGCTTATTTCTGTAACATTCTTATTTCTAAAGTCCTGTAGCAGGTGCTACCAAGAAGTTCAACAAAGCTGTCTTCACTACATCAACAGAGAGGCATTTCCCCAACTTGTAAGTCTTTTCAATGTGCTAAACTCCAGGATTTCCTACTAAAGGGATGTTTTTTTTTAAAGAGGAATCTCTTGTGAGGCTCTGGGGCCAGCCTGCCTGTCTTGAATCCTGTCATTGCCAACTGTCGACTGTGTAATCTTAGTCAAGTGGCAAAAGACTTCACGTTTCTTTTGTAAAATACTGATAATACACTAACACCTATCTTACAGGGTTGTGATGAAGACTTAGGAGTTAATAGTACATACAAAACATTCAGAACAATGCCTAAAACACAGTAAGTTAGCCATTACTATTGTATCATTATAGTTTCATGGTCAGCGTATGTATAGATCGAAGTAAAGGTTCGTATCTACTCAACAGGAAAGAAGTACAACGTAACTAGAAAAATTATATTGAAATATCTACCTAGAAAATAAAAGTACCTAGAAAGTAAAAGTAAAGTATCAAATGATACTTCAAAGAACTAATTTATTTATTTTTACCAGTTTCTCCATTTTTAAGAGGTTTAAGGAAGCTATTCCTCCTAATAATGTCAAAAGTTGTGATGACTCATTCAGGAAATTAAAAAACATACAAAAGCCCTGTATCCCACTGAATGGTGAGTTTCCAGTTTTGCCCAATTCACAGGCTCATGAACTCCCATTCTTCTAAAACTGCATCAAAGCACAGGTATAAAGAGATTATCTGGAAACTGATCATGATCTTCTGATTAGTATTCAATTAACAGGTTGAGATAAAATACATTCTTATTTATCAATAATTAATAGATGATTTGGTGTCAAAATGAAAAGCCCACAAACAGCATATCATACTCAGTGAAGTAATGAAGTCTGGTTAACTGGGGGCTCACTGGGGCTGTGTAGCGCGGGAAGAGCTGCATGGGGAGTAAAGTTGGCCTCGGCATTGCTCACATTTGTTCTGAACTAATACATTTAAACAACAAACTAATTTGCTATTTAGCATTAAAAATACTGAACGGCAAAAATAAAACTTGATTTTCACCCGCTCCTATTGTGTTGCGCAGTCAGCTGGAGAATTCAAAGATGACCATGATGCTCTGAAAATAAACCTGACAGATGGTCCCTTGAGAAGCAAGACAATGTGGTGTGAAGATACCTAAAGAAGTAGCTGTGCGTCTGGGGGGGGGGTGTAGCTCAAGTGGGAGCGTGCATGCTTGACACGCGTGCGGTCCCAGGTTCAATCCCCAGAATCTCCTCCAAACAGAAACAAATGAATAAACCTAATTACCACTCCCTCGTAAAAACAACCACCACAACAACTACAAACAAAACAAGCCAAATGTGTGCTTTGATTTAAAAAAAAAAAAGCTCTCCTGGCAGATGGCCTACTCCATTAGCAATGCATTTGCACAAAAAAGACATCAAAAAAGCAGGGGCTGGAGTAGAGGTAGGAGAGTGGAGGTATTAAAATGCATTTCTATTACACAAGAGCATCAGTGTTTCTTCCAACATCAGCCTTTCTTCAGGCACGATGAGCTGGCAAAGAACACTTTCTTTGCGAGCAGTAGGGTGCAAAGCTCTCCGCCCATGCAACTCGCCACTCAACTCGCCACTGGGTAGCTTTCCCTCCAACTAAGTTTCTAAGCTTTGTTGGGATTAAAGTTGTTAGAGTTAACGGGTACAGGTACTGAGTCAAGGTCATGGAGGATGAACTGCTGAGCGTGTCTAACAGGTGCTAAATATTTGGCTACTAAAATTAGAGGAACCGGAAACCAAAAGGAGCTGGTTATGACCAGTAGTGTAAAAACCTCGTTCAAATGTTACCTCCTCTGTGAAGCCGTCCTCTCAATGCAGGCCCTAATGCACAGACACTGATTACAGAACTCACTGAACTGCATTTTATTTATCTGTAGTTTAAGCTGACCGAGGGTAAGGAAGGGCCATTAGCATGAATCTTGTGCCAACACACAGTAGATGCTCACCATTGTCGAATGAATCATATTTCAGCATTTCGTTTCACATTTTAATAAATGTCTCACCTGATAAATAGGGGAATTTACTCGAAATAAAGGGATCATTTTCGATATTACTCCTAGCCTAGACAGATTTCACAAAGTATGTCCAATATAGACTGCTCTACCTTACTATGATGTCTTATCATTTGCCATTATTCCAAATTATGAGGTCACATTGCACTTCCCAGCCTGTCTGGTTGGGCTGCTGTGCCGGTCACTAATTTATCATTTCTCAGGTTCAGCTGCATTCTTCAATGCCTGCTCTGCACTACTGCACTTCCTATACATTTCTTTAAAAAAAAAAAAAGACTCTTTAAAGCATTTCTCCTTTACAGCAAGCACAACGTAACTTTCTCAGTAGAGGGTGCCTAGGAGACACTGCTTGTTGTAGCTGCTGCAGGGCTCTCAGTCTGGGCAGAACACCCAGATATAGATGCTTTGTCCCTGCCATGTGCCCAGAATGGCAGTCCCAGCTCGGCCTGGTGACCACCTTCCCTACGGCTCTCCCAACACAGACACACACCCTCCAGGCCTCCCACCCGCAGTGGTACGAGAACCCCTTCAGTGCACCAGCCCAGCAGCTGAGGCTGACCTGACCCTGGAGGTTAGCTTCATTATTTCCTGGATGGCAGCAGACAGACCTGGCCTGAGCAACATAATGAACTTCTCTGCCACCCAGCGGGCTGCAAACCTTTGGATGCTGACTGATTCCGTGGTCAGTGCAGAAGACTAGACCCTGACTGATACAGTTGTCAATATATAAGAAGCCTAGAGCTTCCAAAATAAAAACTGAAGGGACCACCTTTGGTTCTGAACTTGGACCAAAGATGTTTATTTAAAGTAAGGTGTTCTATATCATGTTTTTACCCTTAGAGGAACGAAGTCCCTAATTTGAAGCTCATGTTTCTCTAAGCCTTCCATTCAGAGGTAGACGTTGTAACACTTAATTAACTTTAGCATTTTAGGTTAGTAATAGTTGTCCATAATGAAATTAAAAATCCCTCAGCACTTTCTACATACAATCACCAGAAAGGCACAAAGACAAATTCTACAGAGAAAATATAAACTGATTTAAGAGTGGTCATGTGGTAGACACATCAGTGTTATTCCTGAAGAGCAGGACCTTCAATTATTGCCAGTGGAACACACTGTTAACACAGTAGCACCTCAGCAGCAGTGACCCAGCCCAGAGAGCTGCCCACTGCCCGCGGGAGCTAGCATTCCGGCACTGCAGAGGCCTAGTTCAAATCCCAGCCGTGTCACTTCTGAGCTGTGTCCCTCTGGCCACATAACACACCCCTGAGTCTGTTTCCTGCCTTGCGATGACGGCTGTAAAGTAGGGTATACCTACCTCACAGAACTGAGAGGACTAAACTAAACAAGCAACCACCACTGTGATTAATTTTCCCTCCTGTTACTTCATTTTCTAGGTCAGAGAATACTGAGGCACAGAAGTAAGGTTTTTACCAAGAGCGTAGTAACTTACAGATGAAGTTGAAACTAGGCTTAAAATACCCTCGATTTAAGTATGCAAACTTGGGAAACAAAGTATGTACTAAAGACCGGTGGCCCCACTGAGAGGGACAGTCATTTGTTAAGGACCATCCTACAGCTGCCTGATAAATGCCGTTCCTTCTCAGATGGCTGATGAGCCGCTGATAAGAAGCGTAGAACAAGGGCGATTTATGTGATTAAAACTTGAACATCTTACATTTATGTAATACTTTATGCTTTACAAAGTGCTATGACTAATTTAATTTGATCACAATAGCCTTATCTTTGAAAGAACTGTTTTTTTTTAGTGATAGGAGTAATAATTTGGTAAACTAAGAAATTTCAGAAAAAATAAATTATTTTAGGTGTGAATAAAGAGAAATCATGAATTAATGATTTTGCTAATAATTTCTCAATTTTTAATAAAAGCCCATGTTTCTCTTAACTGTATAGATCATAGAAGAGGTTAAATTTGATGTTTGAAAGTAGCCACTTTGATAGGAAGAAAAAGGCTGCTTGGATTTGTTGCAAAAAATGTATGTAAGTAATAAAATGTGAAAGTAAACTTTATACGATCAAAGAAATAAAAGACTGCCACTAACAGAGACTAATAATTTTTCAAAATACATCTTTATACCATATGATTTCAATTAAATGGTGTCTTCAATATTACAAGTCTAGACAAATCATACCTTCCCTCATTCTTGCCTGTTTCCATCTCTTGAAATCAATAGAAACTAAATTTTAAAAATAAATTTTATTTTCCACACTAGAAAATAAATTTTAAAATACACAAAAGTATTTTAAATGGTTTTATTAGAACACTGCTGCGTTTTCCATTTATAAAAAGTTTAAGTGTCTTCTGAAATATACCATTTGCTGCCAGTAACTTATTAGAACCTTAACCCTTTGTACACTAGTGATGGGGACTATGGGGGGCTATGTTTTGGACTGGGAAACTGCATCATTGTCACTGCACCACCTGACAGCACACCTACCCCACGTATTCATAACCTACAGCAGCAGATGGACATGTCGAATAGTTTTAATTTTTTTCCCTTTTTTAAAGCCACTTGACCTGGCACAGAATCTAATCAACTCAAGCTTTCACTATAGCAAAAGCTTCCAGCTGGCTCCTGCTGACTGCTGTCCTTTCCCTGTTTTGACCGACCTTGCATATTGTGGCCAGATTTAACCTTAAAAGTAACTCTGCACTATTACTTCCTTTTTCAAAAGTCAACAGAAATTTCCCATTAATAACATCACATTTAAAATAACGGTTAATTCTGACCTGCAATACCCTTGTTTCTTTCATTTCTTCACTTCACTCGAGACAAAGTCTACCAGGATGCAATGTGTAATGAGAATAAATTTTCCTTGGAAACAGAATTACCATTTTAATTTTTCTGCCACACTCTAGCTACAGTATATTAAGTCACAGCACCACCTATCTTTCAATAAAACATTAGGAAACTAGTTTGACTTTTAATGAGCATAATGCCCAAATGGCTGGCCTGTACAACTTAATGTGAAATTTAGTCCAAAATACACACAAATACATACACACCACAAAATCTAAAAATAGAATTTGCATTTGACACTGTCGAATACTTACACCAGTATACATAAATTTCTTAGTAATGTTTCAAACAAAGGAGTTTGTCTAGCAGTATAACAATTTTAATCTGCCACAAAATAGTGAATAAGCTGTGTCTGAAAATGTTACCTAGAAGCTACAGTCAGGGAGGAGCAGGACTGCTGTGACTTATAAATTCTAACATTCATTGATATTTTTCATGCCCAAGTGTGAACTAGAATGAGTGCTGCCTTTTCCTTGGAAATCTTCCCAACATTTTGGTCATTTTGGTTAAGTGAGAAAAAAAAAAAGGTGTAAAATCTCATTTCATAGCCTCTCAGTACTACGAAGTAGATTTATACACACCATATAGAAGCGAGCCTGCTCATACAGCACACACCCATTCTCCGTGACAATCCCCACCAAGGATACCAAACCCCTTTCTCAAATCTCTGACCTCAGGCTGCAAGAGAATTATTTTTAGGAATGACAATTTCCTTACATAAACCTAAGCAGTACAGAAATACTAGAAAAAATACTTTCAGACAGAATGAATGGGCATTTATACCAACAGCTGAGAAGTCTATCTATGAAAGGTCAAACCAGGAGAAGCAAGTGATTATATGAAAAGCCTGGCTGTGACGTTCATGAAGAATTAAAATGTCTTGAATTATACAGCATTTCTCCTGTGCCATTCTCAACTGCTCCCTGAGGCAGGCGGGGGTGGGTATCACTGCCATTCCACCTCCAGGGAAACAGATGCGCCACAGTTTACGCGTGTCAGTCCCTGGAAAAACAGAACTCCAAAAAGGGCGATTTATGGCTGTCTCACACTATTCCTCAGATACAAAAATGAGGGGAAAAAACAAGTAATTTCAGTTGAAACTGATTGAAAATGATGTAACTCATGACAGTTGCTTTGAAAATAGCATTTGGTTACAATTTTCAGTATAATTGCTAATCAGACAAAAGTTTTGAAGATTATTCTCTAAAAATGGCTTGTTAAAACAGAGTGATTGGATTAAGCATCTTAGCAATTGATGTACTGGGGCGCTAATTACTTTAGAAAGCTCTTTTGTTAGAGCATAAGTAGTTCATCATGTCATAGCATATGACTTGCACCCCAGCCTTTCTTCTGGTGATTCATGTCAGCAGATGCTGACACGAGTCTGTGACTGGTTAAGTAAATCACCGTCAAATTCCTGTAAAGTTACCTCGTCAGTTGTAGCAGCTGCTAAGAGAGAAATGAACTCTTCTGATCTTTACTACAGTTAGCCAAATTTTCATGTTATCAATGGAATAAAAAGAACAGTTCTCACCTGTTTCACAGGCCTCCTCTTCTACCCTCTTTCCAAAGTTTTACATTCCATATCCATTATTTTCCTGATGTCATATTACAGCTGACCCTTGAACAACATGCATCTGAACTGTGCATGTCCGCTTATACGTGGAGTTTTTTCAATAAATATATACCACAGTACTACTCGATCCCCGGCTGGTTGAATTCCCGGATGTGGAACCATGGATATGAGAGTCAACCCTACACGTCTGTCAACTGCATGGGGTCAGCGCCCCCAAACACCGAGTTGTTCAAGGGTCAACTGTAATTTTAAATTCCTTCTTTCCTCCCGTAGAGTCCATTTTAAGCTGTGCTAGGGAAACTACTAATCTACTTCAAGGTACTAAACTTCTGTGTCCTAACATTTAAAATACAATAGAAATGTTTATATTTTCTGACATTTTATTGCACAATATAAAAACTTGATTAAAATGCATTAAGAAACAACATCCTGATTCTTACTCATGTTTCTCTTCATATTTGTATGAATTTTTCTCTTCTTACTAAAGAAACAACATTTTGTGTTTAACTCAATGCTAACTTAAAATGTTTGACAGGAAATAGCATAATTTATTTTAATATGTTCCAACTCAGTATGAAGGTGAGCAGTTTATTTCTGAAGGCTCAGATATTTTAACTATAGTTTATTATTGAAACAAACACTTTTTGGGTCTCTTTCTTCACTTTTAATTTTTTTTTAAATTATTCTTCTTTAGTTCACAGTGTCATGAAAGTGTAAAATAAGACTGATAGAAACCACTCTAAAACATATGGCTTTATATACATAAAAAAATTCAATAATGTTGCCACAACCCCTAGTACAGTGTGATTCTTATTTATTTACTACTATCCAGAATAAACGTCTGTACATATTAAATGGTTCAAGTATATAAGAGAAGTGCTTGTAAAAGTGAGGTCCCACTGCTATGTTAACGGGCATCTCTCTGAAGACCACTTCTAATTTCAACACAATTAAGGTAGAGTTCTAACAACTTTTTGATTTTACAATTTATCATACATTCTCCAATACTGTAAAATGCTCCAATGAGCCAAACACACAATTTAATTTACATCTACTTTAACATCCCTTTTGTACAGCACCAGTGGTTAAATTAAAAATGGATCTGACTAACCAGATGTCCTCTTCTGTTAGTTACAGTTTGTTATTTATTTCTTTAACATTAAAACCAAGTTGAAAACGAAGACAACTCGGGTCAAATTCTTTCACCTAAAATAAATAAACACTTTATCCACTTCACATTTAAACACCTAATTGTTTTCCTATAGTGTATGTTTCTCAGTAACAACTACACAATTCACTAAGCCAAAGACCAACTTCTCTCTGACGACTAGGCAAGTCGAATAGGATTCTCTAGGTTTGCTTTAAAACTTTCAAGAAACCTGGTAGCCAGCTCATCATCCACCACGCGGCTGTCACTCGACATCGTGACGGTGATGAGCTGGCGCTGCTGCAGCCTGTCGTTCCCCTCGTCATCCTGAGTGAGCTTCAGCACAGGTCGGAATCTCCCAACAGCCAAAATGCAGGCCTGAGGTGGGTTGATCACTGCGGTAAACTCATCGATGCCAAACATCCCCAAGTTGGAAATACTAGGGGAAAACAAAAAGCTCTGAAGGTGGCATTATCCTTAATCAAAGAAACTTTTCCCTGACTTATATATTTTTACTTTATTAAAAAATGTCACAGAACCTTACGCCAAGCTATTCAAAGACCAAAGACACAGACAAACAACACTATTTATAACAGTATCGAAAAAACAAGTACCAACACACATACAAATATTACATGTAACATAAACATTTATTCATCATTGAATTGGAAATCCCAGGCAGAGGAATATGGCAAGAAAAAGAAATATAAGGTATAAGAATTGGAAAAAAGAAAATAAAACTTTATTATTCACAGATGAATTGATTGTATACAAAGGAAATCAGCCTCCACAGATGAACTAGTAAGATTAGTAAATAACTTTAGCTAAGTTACTAGATAATAAATCAATATAAAACCTTACCTTATATCTCTATGTAAGCTGCTTTAACTAGGAAGTAAAATTTAATGTACTATTTACAGTAGTATAATCTAGAAATAAATCTAATGAAATTAGATAAGACCTCTAAACAAAAAATTACAAAACACAACTGAAAGAAATCACAGAACTAGGTAAACACTGTTTTATACTATGCTCATTCACAGGAAGGCTCAATGCTATAAAGATATCAATTCTCCTAAAACTGATCAAACAATTCAATGCAATCCCAATCAAAATCCCAGCAAGGTTTGTATATCTGTGTGTGTATGGATGAAAAATGACAAATTGATTCTAAGGTTTATTTGAAAATACCAAGCCAAGAAAGACAATCTTGATGGAGGACAAAACTGGAAGACTTTCATTATCAGATATCAAAAGTTATCATTTGCTGGTAACTAAGCAAGGGAAGGAAAAACAGGCCAACTGAAAAAGAGAGAGCGAACACAGAAAAAGACCAAGCACACACAGTCATCTTCTCAATGCTACAGAGAAGTAATCTTTTTTCAATAATTGAGACTGAATCAATTAATTATCCATATGGGGAAAAAAGAGAATCTTGACCTTTACCTCCATATCACAGATAAAATCTAATTTCAGATGGATTGCAATCTACATGAGAAGTTATAAAGCTTCCAGAGGATAACATAGAAAAATAACTTCATGACTCTGGTATAGACAATAATTCCTAGCAGAAAACAAAGAATACTAACTATAAAGAAAAATACTGATAAACAGGACTTTATTAAAATTCAGAACTTCTGTTCATTAAAAAACACCATCAAGAGAGTTTCAAAGGCAAGGTACAAAATGGGAAAAGGTATTTGAAATAATATATATGCTACAAAAGTCTGTGTATCTGGGGGAAAAAAACTCCTATAAATCATTTTTTTAAATATTATAAGTCATTTTTTAAAATAGACACAAGACTGCAACAGGTATTTTGCCTGATGAGTTACCAGATATCCAATGGCTGACAGATAACTGAAAACAGTATTCAAGATCATTAATTTGTATTTCCCTGACCAGAAAAAGTACCACTACATACTCCATGACTCAAAATTTAAAACCTAACAATACCAAGAGTTAGCAAGAATGTGGAGCAACGGGAAATCCCATTCTATGTATGGGAATTACTTCCACCTAACTTGGTGGAAGTAAATAATGGTATAACCATTTAGGAAAGCTATCAGGCAGGGTCTAGCAAAGCTATAAACCCAGCAATTCTACTTTCAGGGCTATACAACAACCGTATGTACATACGTTCACCAAAGACAGAAGAAGAATGTTCATGGTACCATTATTTGTAATAGCACCAAACTGTAAACAACACAAATGCCCAGCAACAGTGAAGTGGATACCGGCATATTTATAGTGCATATTACACAATATTATAACTGCAATAATAAATAAGTGACTGCGTCACACAGTAACATGGTTAATCTCACAGACACTGACACTGAGTGAAAGAAGTCAGACACTGACAAATACATATTTATATAAAGATCAAAGCCAGCAAAACAAATCTTTGGTGTTAATTTTCACAACAGTGGTTACCCCTGAGCGGGGTGAGAATTAGGAAAGGTGAGGGGAGGCTTATGGGATGTATGCAAGTCACACTGAAACAAAAACAGAGCTGATAATAACTCGAGTCTAAGTGTTAATATTCTTCCCCAAAGTACCTTAAAATAAATCACAAGTAGAAAAGAAATACAGTTGAGGTTTATAAATCTATTGTATTTCAGACCCGGACTGTCATTCTAATGCACATCTGAATGGGTTAACTTAGCTAACCCTAATGGATTCCCACTAGCGTTGATACGAAAGCCTAACTAATATGGGGAATATTTTCATGTATTCTATTGTCTAGATAAAAGTATGATATTTAGCTTAAATTTTAAAAAATGTTTCAGAAAATAAACAGGCTGACAAGGATTTCCTAAGTCTTACATCTGTTTGATGCTACCAATAATTAAGAGATTAAATTTTACCTAAAAGAGCCTCCTTGGTATTCTTCAGGTAACAGTTTTCCATCTCTGGCTTTCTTTGATAGAGCCTAGGAAAGTACAAACAGAGAATGACCATCAGCACTACATTATACCGTTGATTTTTGTCACTTGAAATATTTGTACAGGACACACTCTCATCTCTGATATGCCTTGATTTGACTTTAAAAGAGACTTCATATATAGGTATATAATTTTCTCTAACACACTTTAAAAAATGAGTAAATTAGTGCACTGACAATCCAAGAAGCTAAACATGTAAATCAAAACTCTAGAAAAATAATTTCCCTTTAAAAAATTCTTCAAATATTGGAATTATCTTGTACAAGATGAAGACTGTTTCAGTGTTTTTATGTAAACAATGCAATTTTCTAATTTGCCTATAAAATTTTTCTTGTAAGACAGAGTATTATAAAAGTCATTCTTGTCAATCTAGTAGCTTTTATATAAATTATTCAGTGGTAACCATTTCACAACAAATATATTATTTTTTTATTTCAGTGTTTGCTTCTTTTTTACCCATACATATATATAACTTCAGAGAGTTGTAAAAAAGAAAAAAAACATAGAATTTTATATTTACTTCTTCATAGTATAAGCATCTTCCATGTTGTTAGTCTTTGTAAGATTTTTTTAACATCTGTTTAATATTTTAAAACTGCATCTGCCATAATTCAGTCATTTCCCTGGTGGTGTAATTTGGATCATTTGTTTCTTTTGAATTATTTCATATAAATTCTCAGAAGTGGACTTAAAAAGCCCTAGAAAAGGAACATTTTTCCCCCTTAGTTCTTGATACTATAGTGAAAGCATTTCTGAATGAGCTAGTCTAATTTACACTGCCACAAGGAACATTAAGAATGTAATTATTTCATACCACTCTTAAAACTGATGTCTAAAAATTTACAGTAGGAAAGACAGGTAATACTCTGAGAGTGAAATGAGGAAAAGCAGTTGAATTTTCTCTACATGTACATGCAATTAACTACATTTATCTTCACTTTTATTTTTCAGTGCTTCAAAAGCAAGAGGACAGAGATAGAGTCATTACAGGTGAAAAACTAATCAAGAATTACTCTATAAGGGGAAGAGCAGAGAAGAACGAAGCTTTTGTCTTTTGGGTAGATGATCTATATCTGGGGATTACTTAATATTCTGTCTTATATAACTAACATAGGTACAACTATAATCACCATTGATAACTATTTAATTTTAAACTACAGATGATTTAATTTTTGAAAAATAAAACATTCTTTAAAAACCTAAAAATGATCTCAACCTATCACTGTGACTTACTGCCAAATGATTTATATTATTTGGATATAGTTACTTATAAAACTATTTGGATCCAAAATGAAAAATTAAGAGATGAATTTCGACTTATATAGTCCTCAGAGTATCACAAGTAGAGAGAACAATCTACAAATGCATTTTCCCTGCCTTAAGCAATGTAACTTCACGTGATTTGAACAGGCACATATCACATGAATTTTGAAAGGCATTTCTCTAAAAGCAGATGATCTCAACACAGCCTGATGAGTTACCAGGCTAAAACAAAAAACATTTTCATTAAAAAAAACATGTTGCAAGCACACATAATACACTTTAAAAAAAAATCTATACGGACCCCAAAAACATCAGCAGGATATTCTTGTCAATGAACTCTGAACAGCTTGGAATAAGAATAGATTCTGATGAGGATTACTGGTTCTGAAAATGACTTAATTCTCACTGGTATTTCCTGGTAATGTGAACTTAAAAATCAAAGCAAGTGTTCCCCGACACCCAGCTGACAGGACATAATAAAAGCTGAATAGTAAATATTTCTAAAATATACCACATGCCTTATTAATTCATTCAAAAAGTTTACTGGATACTAATGAGGTAAACTTTGCCTCTGCCTCTTGCGATTGTTATAATTAATTAAGAACAGCATGGGATCTAAGGCTTGTTACTATATTACTTTATTCAGGGAATACAAACCTGAACTTGGCTGAGGCATGCCTTTGGCCCCACATATTGACATCCTTGGGATTACTGAGGGTCAGGAAGTACTTAGAGCAGGTGTTCTTAACCTGGGGTCCATGGATAGATATTCAGGGACCCACAAAGTCCTTGAAAAA